AAACAACTAAAAACGTAGAGAATAATGCAATTTAATTGCTAAAATATTATTTCAAAATACATAACAAATATTTGTGTACTATGTAGCTTTAAATTAGCATGTTAGTCATTTTATTACATTATAAAATTACCCAACTTCCTTTGGTATAAACGTATACCAATAAGACCTTAAATATTTTAATATTCATCAAAAACTGTAGGAGTACCTACATACATATAATTAATTGCAAAAGTTGCCAACTCTGCTAGTATAGGTAGACTATAGGTAGTTTATGAAGAATTACAGTGCTTGGTGGCTTCTATAAATTTTACTTAGTAATCATAAAATAATTGGTTGGTTAACGTCTTCACTATTATAATAAGAACACTTTACTTAACAAGTCCACTTTATATTGCCATTATTGCGTTTGCGCTTTGTTATCATTAAAGATGGGATATTTAGGTACTAAAAACTGAAAAATAGGTAACTAAAAAGGTACTAAAAAAAAGCATTTTAGGTTAAAAAAAACAGCATTTTAGGTAAAAAAAACATTAAAAGTTCAAGTTTCGTTTATTTTTATAAACTGACCAATAGTTAATTAAAGCTATAAGGAACTGAAAATATAACAGGGAATACCTAATATTTACCAAATTTACTACTAGAGTAACAAACAGATAGCTAAAATGTATATAAATTAAAGAAAGATGTTTTAAAATAACCTTAAAGTCCTTACAATTTTACAGCATCTACAAAATAAGTTTTTTCCCTCAATAGAAATTATCTTATTCTTTCCCTCTATCCAACTGCTGAGTTTATTTAGAGGATTTTCTTTGGTTTTGGGCATTTTTTATAATTTTGTTTAGCCGCATACCCAAACACAGAACATACCCACAATAAACTATTTCTATGCAATAAACTGTGTTTCACTAAGTGACACTCACTACACAGAAGTTCTATGACAGAACATAAGCTCACTACAAAGAAGGTGACTGCAAAGAAAGTTACTGCTACAGTCTGTGACCATAAGAAAAAATTCTATACCGTTGAGTTGCACGCCCTGGATAAAATATTGGCGCAAAATTTAAAAAGAACACAAAAAATAAAATACGTAAAAATAGGTAACAAATATGTGAAAATAAACTGACAAATTAAAAAATATGTAACAAAAGTATAAAAGGTAGTTTAAAGCAAAAACCTCAAAAAAAGGTAAAAAAGGTGAAAACAAGTTAAAAAATAGTTAACAAAAGTATAAAAAAGGTAGTTTAACGGAAAAACCTCCAAAAAAGGTAAAAAAAGGTGGAAACAAGTTAGGTTCATATAAAAGAAAATCTTTTTAAACACATTTTTGCATTATTGGTTTTCAAATAGTCACATCGGTTGAAAAAAGGTAAATTAACTAAAATCCCCTAGTTATCATTATCACGAAATACAAAATTAATAAAATTTATAAACTCAAATTCAAAAAGAAATTTGAACATAACCTCAAATTTTAGTCTGTTTAATTTATTTTATCTTTAGGGGTTCTATACCAAAGTGATTGATTATAGGCTAGGCTGTAAAAATAAATTAAAGCAATCAGGTAAAGTTTCCTACCTCCTTATTATTATTAATATTATTATTATTACTAGTATTATTAGTATTATCATTATTATTATTATTGACAATAAAACATGTTGTATAATAAAAATGCAAACATATCTATTATTACAAGAAAAAAATGGAAATTAAATAGTATATTAAAGAACTAATGTCATAAGACGTCATTTTGTCGAACGCGGACAATGGACGAGTGCGACAAAAGGTCTTATGACATGAGTTCTTTATGCTATTTTATCTATTTTGCAAAAATTCTATAAAACAAATTAATTTTATACCTTAAATTTAATTTGGTCGAATTTTACTTTAGATAGTTGGTATCACAGTCATTGGTTTGACAGTTAATGTCGAAATCGATTCGCCATGCCGTCCTTAATTTACTTATTTACAATAAGCGGCTGTTAATGTTAAAGAAGAAAAAAAGGATTTTCTTTGGTGTTAAACAAAATTTATTGCCAGAAAAGTCTCGTAAGTACCAGAAAAATCATAAAAATATTATAACCTACATATATGCAAAATATTATGCTGTTTAAAGTACAGCCAACCTATAAAATGAAAATTTTGGGTGACACAGCACCGAAGGCGGTGTTATAATGAAGTCATTATGAACGCAAAATAGATAAAGATTATTTAAAGTTCTGATTTTAAATTTATATAATTCCTAAAAAGTTTTAAAAGTCCTAAATTTTATGAAAAAATATAATACTTACTAATGCTTTTAAACATTCGTAAGGAGACAAACAAAATACAAAAAACATGAATCATTATTTTACGTTAATTGTGATTGGTAAAAACCTTCGACCCCAAAACTTAGTAGCCCTATTATTTGACCACCCCTTACCATCTAAATCAAATAGATAAATTCAGGGGTGCAACCCCTTTATACAAATTTTCGGTTTATGTTAATGGAAAGAAATGTTCTGAGATTAGGGGATTGTTTATCTAAAATCTGCATGCACATTTTATTTTTCCAAAATAAAAATATTACTTAACAAATCACTTGTCCTTAAGGATATTTATAGATACCTACCTGTTTACTATTAAGCAAATATTATTGTTGACTTTAAGAGCAATAAGTGCCTTATAACTCGCATTACGTAAGGTAAAAACCAAATTGTTAAATACCTAACCATTGTTAAAGTAAACAAATCCAACTTTTAAGAAATTATATGACATTGTGCTAAACCAACAAACTAGCAATGCCAATGAATTAATACTAACTATAATAAAAATAATCATAAAATTCATAAGAAGCATGGTTCTCGTCATAAATAAAATTAAGATACATTATGTATGAGGTTAATTTGATGCTGACTTGATTTCAACACGTGTCGTGCATTAAAACTAAAAAAGGAGACGATAATTAAAAAACGATTCGACAGTTGCGAAGAGATTTGTACCGTTTAAGGAAATTATGATTTAATTAATTTATAATCAGTCTGCCACAATGTGATCTTGCTGTTTACAATCCTTTGCCTCACAGGCAGTTATTAGAAGTATTAATATCAGTTAATGCGTTCTATTGCATTTAAGATTATAATCCTTACTTTGCAATTTAATATAAATTATAATCATGTTGCAAATGTCTCGATAAGTATAATATAGCGTCAAGTTAATCAACATTTAATTATTTTATTATATGGAAGGAAATACGTGTTTCACAGAGCTAAAATGTACTGTACGTCCATTTGGACGGTAGATGGGGCTAATCACCTCTCACCGCTGTCGCTGCACCTTTTGCCTATATAAGGCGAACCGCGGCAGGTTTTGAGTGTTTTTACACATCACGGCTATCCGGCACTGATGAGGTCTAAAAGTAAGTGTAAGTGTACGATCACCTTGTACACGGTGGTAAAAACAAAAATGCCAACCAAAACTGATAGCATATTTTGATTATAGACCCTTTTGGTAACACTAACATGTATTTATCAAAATCCCAGCTGATCCTATTTTAAAGCTTTGCAAACTTTTTTGTTTTTCTATTTCTAAATATTATTTTGCAATTATTGTACTAAAACTACCTGTACAATTTTAATAAAATTAAGCAAAATCATTTAAATTACTTTACTCCCCAGTATTAATTTATTAAGTCACCTATTATTTTTTACCACTCAAAACTAAACATAACAAAAAAAACGAATATTTATATCTTAAATATTTTTTATAACAAAAAATACTGGAAGTTTGTCTATAAAATAATTACAACTTGCAAATTTTGTAAAACAATAATTAAGGTGGTTATGAAAAAAATTGCTATACGTTATAAAGCAAGTGACATTTTGCTTTAGTTGTTTATTTAATGCATACTTTATAAAGTTAAAAATAGTATTTTAAAATGAAAATTAAACCGAAATTTAAGTTAAGCCATTAAGAAAATCGAAAGAAGGTATGTGCTGGCTGTGGAGACAAAATTAGTAATCAAAAAATTCAGAGTTTAGGGTTTCTGAGAAAATATAAAAATTACTGCAGACTTTTTCAAACGAACACTTAAGTGATTTAAAATTACCTACTTCAATATGGTAAAAACGGTATTTTTGCATAGCCACAATTGCCAAATTTTCAAAATTTAGAAATTGATAGAGAATTTCGCGGCAGCCAAGAATGTATGTGCTTTATCTGCAAAATGGCAAGATATAAAGGGCATAAAAAATTATTAAGGGAAGAGGACGGACGAACGAACCAAAGTTTTGATATGCTCTTCCTTTCTAGGGGATATCGCTAGATGTAAGAAGCATGTTTGTACAGAGACTAAAGAATTTAAAAATACTGTTTCCATGTTAAAAACAATTCCATGTAAAACCCAAGAAAAAGTTTTACTGAAAATTTAAGGCAAGCAGTAATCGATTTTGCCTCAAAGAATCTTTAGTTATTTATTAGTTTTGTATTAGGTACCTTAAAACAATAAATAAGATATTGCAAACTGTATTTTACATTATTTTGTATTTATAATGTAATTTATCCATATTTCAGTCATGTATCTGCCAGTATTTTATCGAAATGGCATAAACAATTTTAAAATACTAAGAAATATGCAAAACTTTAATAAAGGATCAGCTGGGATTTTGATAAATACAATTTTGTGTTACCAAAAGAGTCTATAATCAGATTATGCTATCAGTTTTGGTTGGCATTTTTGTTCGTCCTATACTTTAGTTTTGACCACCGTGTGTAACCTTTGCATAAAAATACCCCAAGTAACAATTGTAAGATACTTTTGATTTATTAAGGGGTTTAAAAGTGAAAAGAATGGTTTATACTGGTTTTATAATACTCTCGAGATTGGCTATTTTAAAAGTAATGTGATTTTTTAAGGATTAAAGTATATTTTAAATGCAAATAAGTTTTAATACATAAATTTAAAGTTGCATTAAAGAACTTTTTAAGGATATAATTAAAACTAAATAGTTTTAATATAGTTTTAAAATTTAGTCTTGAAGACCCTTTTGGAATGGGCCCTTTTTGGCTAGAAGCTGCTTTAGCATGGTCCTAAGACTGTCTTGAAGATCATTTGGTTTTATTCAAAGTTTTATTGTGGTTTTAAAGCGACCTTGGAGATCGCAATAAGCTTATATAATAAGCTCTAGAGCATTAGTGTTACTTGGGATCCTATACGTATCCCTTTTAAGTTTTACGAAGGAACATAGTTTTCATATTTAAATATACCTAAAAATAATTTTTACCTGCTATTCTTAACACAGCACGGTCGGCGCTGTCCAAGGCGAGAACAGACAATGGCTGTTCTCGGGTCCATTCTTGTAGAGTTGGGTCTTTATCGAACTCCATTTTCTGCAAAAAAAAAACAATGTTACTCCATATTTTGGAATCACTAAAAATATACAACCATACAACTCATACAATTGTTAAAATGTGCATTTGCGTTACTACCAAGTTTAATAATAAATAAATAAGATAAACACTAAACAAACGAAATAATGAAGTCAAAAATATACACATAGGTATACAATGATAATATATTATTACAATTTTTACATTTTACAAGATAATTTTACTAAATTTTAAAATTATTGATTTAGGAAAACCGAGGTAAACAATATTTTACCTAAAAAAATTACATTTTTACTGATAATCGAGTTTTAAACAATGCAATACCAATAAGGAATAAATATATCTTAATACCAAAGTAACAAAAACATAAAAAATATCCCTACTGTTATACCTACAGGGACACACAATAAAGTGTTTACCTAAATTATTTAACTGTTCTCAAGACGTTTTTAAGATACTGCAGTTTTTTTGCTTTATTATAAATTATGCCTAAATTAAATTCGTGTATAAAATGGCGTTTATCAAACTTGATACATAATATACTATTATAATTTATAATAGTATATTATGTATCAAGTTTGATAAACGCCATTTTATACACGAATTTAATTTAGGCACGAGCGAGCTTGCGAGCGAGTGCTTAAATTAATGAGTGTATAGAAAAGTTTATAAACGAGGTGCATACTATACTTTTTCTACGACAAATACTTATTATTATCATTGACTTCACTCAACGTTATTATTTTAAAATGATTTAAATCAAAAATTTGTGAAAGAAAAGAAAATGTTTTATGAGGACTTTACAGTAGAGTCCGTGCCTGAATTTAAGTTATAGTTTACTGCCGGCGAAATTAAATGGTCAGTACAATGTTCATATAAACTTTTCAAATATTGGCGTTGAGAAACTATTTACCTAATACTTTTGTATTTTTGTATTGAGATAATAAAATAATTTTCACATTTAGTATTATTTTAGAAGAAAGGCACTTTATTTTAACGATTGTATGACATTTGACACTTCAGCCCGTGACTAAAAACTTGTTGCTAACTTCAGCCCGTGACTAAAGCGTCATAAAGCCATAACTTGTCAATGTGTATTTAAAAGGTCACTTAGTGTCATGGAAACATGTACGATAAAGGGCGTTTTAAAGGTGGCAGTAGAAAAATATTATTATATTATTATGTTGAATTTTTAAAAATTTAAGAATTTTTTTAATCGTTCATAACTTTTTACGACATTAATCGACTTACCTTTTTTTTAATTTTTAGTAGTTAATTTTTTTTTTTAATTATTTGCTTTTGGTGTCATGATGTTTTGTTTAATTTTCGGGTTTTTAAGAATGTGCGGATCCGTTTTTTGATTTTTCAACATTCCCATGATAATTAGTGGATATGGGCATCAGCCTGGTAATTTAGTGAATAAAAAAAAATTTAACAAAAATTATTGCAAGCGAATTAAAAATAGTCTGCCACCTTGATATATTTGAGCATTTTTCCATTTAATATGGAATTGGCTATATCTCAAAAACTGCTCCACTTTTGACGGTATTTTCGGATTCAGGGAACAATTTTACATAAGAATTGGCTGTTAAATTTTGGGATACCATGGTATTCCATGGTTAACCATGGTACAAGTGAAAAAGCAGCCACTAATAACTATTAAATTAGTCATTTTTGACTAATTCATTTTTAGATAGTAGAGTGTCGAAAAAAAAACGGAAAAATTGGGGAAAAACTGTTTTTTCCGTTTTTCCCCAGTCCTTGGCAAAATGGGCTTTTTTTGGAAATACACACATTTGAAAAAAGTGGCAATAAACATCTTACCATTATTTTAATTTAAAAAAATATACCTACTTACAGAAAAAAAACTAAAAATTTAATTAAATTAAATTGATTTAAGAAAATAAACGTAAACGTTAAATATAATGTTTGTTGGGTCTTTTTTGCAAAAAACAGTTCATTGAAAATATCCAATTACAAAATAATGAATGATTTATAAAGTTAAATTACAAAATTATAATTTTATAAATCGAATTGTCAAATAAACCGAAAGTTATGTTAATACAGCACCGAATATGTTTTTTTGCGACCCAGTAGAATATTTTTACAGAATTAAAATAAAAGGAATAATTATTATAATAATAATATTATGATTATGTTGAGAGTCGAAAACTTACTTTTTTCTCGATATCAGTGTAAAAAACCCTTTGAATAAAATGAAAAAATGCAAAAGTCAATTTTTTTGAAAATTACCCTACTTACTGTAGAAGAAGACTTACATAAATCGTTTAAATGAATATAATTCTTATAATAAAATATCGAGGGGGTAACAACTGCTGGCAATACATGTACAAATTGTGATGCATTACCCCGCATTACGGCGGCATTACATGACATTACATGACATTACCGGCATTATATGGCATTATGTTGGCATTCCGCAGTATTACTCTGGTATTAGGCGGCATTACATTGCATTACTTAAAAATTTCACGGCATTACGTACGAATTACGGCATTACGCTGGTATTTTAAGGTTGAATTTTGTGGTTGTGAATTGCAGTGTTTGTTTAGAAGTTAGTTAGTTAGTTAGTTAGCAGACAGTTAGGTATTTAAATTTAACAGACAGTTAGGTATTTAAATTTAAGCTTGAGGTACGTGAAATAAAATCATTTATAGGTATTTTTAATTTTACTAAGATATTTAGTTTTTGCTCATCATTTAGAACATTTGCTAAGAAAGGGAATTACCCCAAGAACCACGTTCTCCTTAAAACACAAACTTTGTCTTTTGAAGCATTTTTTTCTCAATAATTTCCTGAAATTTTTTAAGAAGCGTTTCTACCCACGATGAAGTGTATTTTTATTTAACGAGAACTTAATGTAGACGCTGTTCACGTGATTGACAAAAACAAGGCCGTATTAAAAGCTAAATATCCATACGGGCCTAAGATTTTTGTATTTTAAATCGAAAACTGGCATTTCTGCTTTAAATAATTTAAGATTATAAGATTTCATGACATTTGTCATTTTGACAAATTCTTTAAAAAATTAAAACAAAACGTATTAAATTACAGTAAAACCACAATGTATACAAAAAAGTATCCATTTTTTGGTTGATTTCGAGTTTCGGTTGATTTAATGCTGCTATGAAAATACTTTTGATTTGATATATGTCAAATAGTGACAGACTTGTACCTTATTGCTGAAAGTTTCGTGGCTGCTATGGAAATACTACATATTGATTTAATATATCGCACATGGGCGACAACAGTGTCATAAGTAGTAAAACCATAATTCCGAGATAAGTTAACGTAAAAGATTTTTGAATAATAAAATTCTGACATTTTTGTAAAATTATATTAAATTATAGTGTAAGTTAATATAATTTTACAAAAATGTCAGAATTTTATTATTCAAAAATCTTTTACGTTAACTTATATCGGAATTATGGTTTTACTACTTATGACACTGTTGTCGCCCATGTGCGATATGTCAAATAGTGACAGACTTGTTCCTTATTGCCGAAAGTTTCGTGTACAATGGCAATTAAAAATTGTGTGCAGAAATTGAGTCGATTGACTTTATCAATGGGATTTAGCCTCTGGACTGTCGGTTTTTTTGATGGAGTTTTAAATCCAGATGTAACATTCGTCGCAAACTTCGGTCTGAAATGTATAGAGCAATCGAGTGCCGCTGAAACGCTTCTCTGACTCTTCCAATATTTTCTTGTGTACAAACTGTACGAGTTCCAGCGGCAAATTTTGATTTTACACTGCCTTTTTCGTTAAAATCTCTTACCCATCTCAAAATGGCATTTTTTTATGGGACGCATTTGAAAATTATATTCACGACGAAAGCGTCTCTGCGTTTGTATACGAAGAACTGGGTCAAGGTAAACGAATTTACAGCAAATATCCGTTGATTAACCGGCCAGTTTGACATTGCACACAAAACCTTCGGCAATAAGGTATAAGTCTGTCACTATTTGACATATACCAAATCAATAGTATTTCCATAGCAGCCTTTTCAAAACCGTTCAATTGTGATGCCGGACCCTGTATATATGTGATAAGAGAAAATAATAAATATGTCCAAACTGTATATTATATTTTGTTTCATATAAATTTTCTGTGAAGATAATGCGTTCCCGAGTGCGTTCCCTTCATGGATGTTGCCACAATATGTTATCATAATATAACATTTATGCATTTTTTTTATTTTATTAAGAATGGTCAAGATTTCTTTTATTTTTATATTATTTTCTTCCAACAAAAATGTATGAAATTACTAGCATTACACTGGAATTACTGGCATTACACTGGAATTACTGGTATTACACTGGAATTACTGGCATTATACTGAAATTACTGGCATTATACTGAAATTACTGGCATTACACTGGAATTACTGACATTACACTGGTATTACTGGTATTACTATAAAAAAGGCACGTAATGCGCAATACATGTACAAATTTTGGTTCAGTTGTTACCCCCTCGTAAAATATTAAGAAAAAGAATAGTGGGTACTTTCAAAAAATTATTTTTTACTCTTCCGAATAGGTAAAAACATAATTATTTTTTAAATATCCGTTATCCGTATTTTTCAAATAAGTGCTCCTTAAAAAAATATAAAAAAAATTTTAACAATCGAGAAAAAAAATGAAAAAATAGTTGACCCACGATAAGACCAAGTTAATAACTAAACATAACTTCATGAAAACACAAGGAAACTTATTTTTTTGGAAACTTCATTAAATAAAGAATATTTTAAAAAGAAATCGTTAAATTTTTCAAAATCCGACATGTCAGATGCATCTCAAAAACTATCAGCCTAAAACAATCCCAATTTCGGAAAAATCGCAGATGCAAACTCATTTGGCATGGAATTTTCCATATCGTCACAATTATCACATAAGGTCGTATCTCAAATTTAACAACTTTACAGAGCATTTTAAAGATTACAAGTTTTAGCTATTTTAAATAATATATGCCTGTATACAGGCATATACAGGCTATAGCCAGTAGGTATTACAGTTTGATTAAATAAATGGTTTACTTTCAAACACGATTGTCATTGTATTTTCGTTGTTGTATTTGTATCGCACCTATCAGCGACGCGGTGACAGGGGAATGACGACAGAGTTGCACATTTTAATCAGACAAAATGTTTTCACGAGTTATTTTCGTCCTGCGATGCACATAGTTTTTCAATTGGCAACGACAAAAAGACTACCGAGGCACAAAAGAATCTTCTGTTGGGTACAACGAGTGCGTTGTTATTTCATTTTTAGCAAATTGGAATGATACAAAAAAAGAAAAAAAAGGCTACCTATTACTATTTTCAGATTTTTCTCACATCACTATCCTGTTTCGATTTAAGTGCATTTTCTTAGGAATATTTTATTTTCTATTTATATTCGCAGAGCTTCATACACAGCTCTGTGTATTTAAAGGTTAAGGTCAAAACAGTACCTATTCACATTACCTACATACATTAGAGCTGTTTTCAGATAACACAATATTATAATAAAATATATCTCACACTACACACCTCAATTAATCTAGGTTATTTAGCATGTAAGTCAAAGATAATATTATGCAAATTTCCATTTTTCATCAACTAAGGATTAAAACATTTCAGATTTAATTAGTTCGAGCTATAGCTATAGCTATAGGTGCCAACTTTTTGTGTTTTTATGTTTCCCAAGATATTACACAAGTATACTTTAATTTAATTAATCAGGCATAAATTAATTATTTATGGAGGTATTTGGATTTTTTTTTCATTTTTTTTATATTTCAAATTATGAAATAATGAAAAATACAGTAGGCACCTCTTGCATATTTATTACCTAATTAGGCACTAAATTAAAATAATTATAATTACATAATTGGTGTTTTTTGCATTAATAACGGTATGCATACTAATTATTAATTTGCCTACGTTACGGTACAAAAAAAAATAAAAATTTAAATATGGAAAATTTAACGAAGCGTTTGCTGCTCATATGAGGATATCAGTAAAACTTGTTAGTTATGAACATTCAAACTAGAAATCTATAATTTTACCAAAACTAAAATAATAACGGTGTACCTACAGTGAAAAATATATTTGAATTATTGGAAAATGATGGTGGTATTATTATTATCGTTTTATCATTATCATTATCATTATAATTATAATTATCAATATTATAATTATCATTATTAAATCCCAGGGAAAATTAGGCTAACTAACACTACACTAAAATGTACATGCACTGATAATGAAACTAATTTTGTAAGCGATTGATAAAATAATAATTTACCACCTAAGGTACCTTTTTTATTAAATTTTAATATGGCATATTTGTCTTTTTTAAATTACTATCGTTGTAATTCAAATTAATTTTATTAGAAAATCTTTGTTAATAGCTTAGGTTAAGAACAACAACAAAAATATTTTATTGCTATAAAAAGACTTTTTTAATATTAACTATTGTTTTGCAATGATAACAATTTTTTTATTTCCCTTAAAAAGAGGGGGAAAGGGCCAGCGCTCTCCTTGGTGAACATAACTTTATAATCCACAGTCTGTGTTGATTTCAATTGTGCGAGTGAAGTGAGGTAAAATCTAGCATGATAAAAAATTCAAAAAGTTCAATAAAAAATTAAAATTTTGACGTTTTCTAAAAATTTAAGGTCTATTCTATAAACGAAGCAGAGTGAGTTCATATTTTTTTTATTTTGTACATATATAAGTAATATAAGTTAATTTTTTTGTTATAATAAATAGTTTGTTTTAATGCCTTGCAATTATTTAAAAAAAAACTACCCAACACCCAACAGTAGGTTGAAAATGTGACCATTGTTACAATGAAAATAGTTTATTAAATTAATTTGTTGTTAAATATTGTACAAAAAGTTTTATTTTAAACGAAAAGGGATTTGTAAAATTTAGAAAATTTCTATGAATACCATTAGGGATTAAGGGATTTGTAAAATTTAGAAAATTTCTATGAATACCATTAGGGTTTCATTAATAGGTACTACAAAACGTTTCATTAATACTACAAAACGTTTTTGTAAACGGTATAGAACTGTTTTTTTTTGGATTATTAATAATAATAACTATATTTATCAATGCGTTTTTGCAACTGGAAGAGTGTTATTTTTATAAACGGGTGAGTTGACGGTATCTATGGTTACCACGTAATCTGTCATTGTTCAAAATTTAATGGCGTCAATTTTTCAGGTTTTATAAACAATTTGTTTACTATGTTTTTTGTAAACAAAATTACTGATAAAAAATAGCAGTCAGTAAATTATAAAAAATAGACCAGCCAAATATGTTTAAAATTTATAAGTAATACAAACAGTATTTTCTAATTTAA